GGGCTGTCCCCTTCCTCCCCGATCACGTGCTGGAGGCTGCCTTTCCCCTCAAGGGTTCTGATCCCTGCACCGGCTGTCCCTGGGTATACATCTCCTCACCTGCATGGGCTCTCATAGCCTGATCTGGACCTCACTGTGGGGATACCTCCTCACCCCATGTGGGCCCTGACAGCCCAGACCAGGTCATCCCACTGCAGGGACACCTCCTCACCCCAAGTGGAGTGGGCTGGTCTGGGCCACCATGGTCTGGGTACACACGTACCCTGCTCTGCCCCATGCGTGGCGTCTTGATGGAGTTGTTTAGGAGGGGAGTGATATAGTACAAAGAATGTTTTTAAAGATAACTGCAGCCCCTGCAAGGAGAACAGCTTGCAGCAGGGCTCAGGAGGCTGTCCCAGTGATTGCGGAGAGGCAGCAGGGCAGGGCCCAGGCCAGGGACACACACAGCAGATGGCAAGACTGACAGCTGGACTTGTAGGGCACAGAGAGACCGGAATCAAGAATGAGGGCTGAGGTCCTGGCCTTGTCTCTGGAGCTGGGGAGGCTGTCGAATTTGAAGTGCTGTTAGAAAGTCCAGGCAGACATGGGTCCCAGACAGTGAGTGACTTAGCACCGGGGTTGGAAATAGAGGTGGAGATTTGCGAGCTTTCTGGGAAAGTGACTAGTTGTAATAGTGAGAGAGGATGAGGTCTCCTAGGGAGAAGAGGGGAGAGAGGAGAGAGGAGAGAGGGAAGGATTCATGGCCGAACAGCAGTTGTGGGTTGTGGGAAGCCTTGGGCGTTTTTTGAGCTGTAATGCAGCTGATCTATTGCTATTGAACCTAGAGCCCAGTCAGCTTTTCGTCTGCTTGAACGTTCCAGTGACTGGGTGACATTATTTGTTGGACACTTGTTTGGGTATTTTCCCTTGTATTAAAAGCTGGAAGTCTGTCTGTTTATTTCCATTCCTTGGTCTTAGGCGGTGGAGTGCTTTGTCATAATTTCTGACCAGGTGTCCTTCTGCTCTGCCAGAAATCATGTCTCTCTCCATCTGGTTTCTCTGCTTAAAACTCTTCTACAGCCCTGTGTGGCCACAGAGTCCAGGTCTAAGCGCTTTTCCATCCGTCCAAGGAGGTGTTCCTCAGGATCTGCATGCCCCGCTTTGAGGAAAGCAGTGGGATTTCACTTTCTGTTTTGGAAGCCATGTCATGTGGTGTGTGGACCTGCTCGCTTGTTTTGAACGTGAACCGTTCTCAAATCTTCATCATTGGCACCTTATCTATTTGAAATGTTTTAAACCTAAACAGAAGACTTGTGTATTCCAGGGAAGCTGTGCTGGTTGTGATCTGATGGGTCAAGGTCATTCTGAGCCTTGGCTTTAGTGCTGTGACTGCCTCGGATGTGATATGTGTCCCTCTGAGTTCAGCCAGGCCGTCTAGAGATGTACTCGCGTTGCTATCCTTGTGCTGGGGAGCCTCCTTGGCCTGATCTTCATAGGGACAGGGGTGGGGTGGGGCCTGCTTTGGGGCCCCTGGGCTGGGAGTGGGAGCTGGGTTAGTCTTGGCACTGCCCTCTGGGGCTGTCCTTTCATGGGAAGGAGTCAGGCCATTCCTGGGTGGCGGCGGAGGTGCGGCTGATCTGCTCACAGCATTCTTGGCCAGCTGGTGAACTCTCCCTGCACTGTGCTTCCCTCTAGCTCTTCAGTCAGGAGACGGTGATGAAGTTTGTGCCGCGGTACAGCCTTGTCCTAGAACTCAGCGATAGCGGTGCCTTCCGAAGAAGCCTGCACGATCCTGATGGGCTGGTGGTCACCTACATCAGCGAGGCGCATGAGCACGACGGGTACCTGTACCTGGGCTCCTTCAGGTCCCCCTTTCTCTGCAGACTCAGCCTCCAGTCTGTTTAGCCCGCCCAGATAGCTGCCCTTGCCACGCAAGCCGGGAGTCTTTACACTCAGGCACCGGGCCTTGTCCAGAAGGAGCTGTAGACACAGTCGTGGTTCAAGTGTCCACACGCACCTGTCAGTCCCTGAGGGGTGGTGGGCACGGCTGCTTCATCCTCTTCGAGGATGCCCGGGACCTGCCAGGGGCACCTTCACCTGGGCCCGTCTTTCTGTTGAGAGGGAAGTGTAACATATCTGCCACAGGGAGGATAAATTCATGTAAAGCCATTTTCTCTTAAAACAAAACAAAGCTTTCTAAGTACAGTCATTCTCTAGGACTTGGGAAGCTCCTTGCACTTGGAACAGGGCTCAGGTGAGTGGAGCAGTGACGCACTGCCCTTGAGCATGCTGCTGCGACCCTGTCCCGTGGCCTCAGTGTCCTTCTTGACTGTCATATAATGTGCGATCATACCTTTGTTTGTTGGGGGGGGATGGAAGAGCAGAGGGAGCACGGCCCAAGGGTGTTGAGGCGAGCAGTGAGAGCTGTGTAAGCCAAGAATGGAACCGTGTTCCCAAGGGTTGTGTGGGACGGGGGCGCTCCATAGTGCATAGGAAAAGCACATTGACTCTAGTGGCTCAGAGAGAACTTTGCTGGGTTTCTTTCTGTGAATATCTCCACACTGCCCATGCTGACCATGCTGGAATTGGATGATTCTGCAATTCGGGACCCATTGCAGGGGTGCGTTCAGTAATGTCATGTCTGTGACCTTTGTTCTTGACCCCTAGACCCCAAAATGTGAACAGTGCACGTGTTAATGTCATCTTTGCTCATGTGTTATAAGCCCCAAGTTGCTGTATATTTTCACAGGTATGTCTACACACTGGTCATGATTTTGATAATAAATATGATCAATCGACTTCTGCTGATTTACCTTTTTTGGTGATAGGGCATGGGAGTTTCTTCTCTTATTAACAGTAAGTGAAATTTAATTCCATCAGCTGTTGATGTAAGAATTGCCTTGGTGAGGATGATGTTTTAAGGCCGAGCAGTCCATCTGACCAGCTCAGGAAGGGAAGCCACGGGACCTGTCTCAGGCAGCAGTCTTCAGGCAGGGAGCAGGTAGCCTTAGGCCATTAGCTCTCGACGTTGACTCCTGGCGTAAGTTGATATTACACTTCTCTCCTGTTTTCCAGCCTATGAAATGGGGCTCATATCTGTTCCTCTCTTTCCTAGGTATTTGTGAGAGTAACAAGAGATTGTGTCTCCAAAAATGTTTGGAATAACTTCACAGAGGCAATATTTTAGATAGCAATAAAAGAAAAAATCAGATAAATATGTAATGATATATGTAATGTAAATATGTAAAGATAAATATGTAATGGGACAAAAATTCAGAGAATTGATAGCTGTGGTAACATCGGGACCATCTGTATGCACTGGCTGGCCTTGGACTCCTGCGCCCTCCTCTCCCCTCAGCAGTGGCCAGGCTCCGTGTTGGGGGAAGAGAGTCGGGAGTCTGATGGTTAATTGTGTGTCCCCACTTCTTGAGGTTGGCTCCTGGGGGCAGCACCAGTAGGACAGAGGCAGAGATCAGCTTCTCCCTAGTTGATGTGACCCACATTGTGTCAGATGAACAACTCAAAATTTTTAATGTGCCTCTATAGGAAAGAAAATTAGTGGTCAGCAGAAATACTTTTAGTGACAAACGGTGTGCCTTATATGTCAGGTATGCAAAGAAAATAATAATAATTCTGTCATATAAACAGTTTAAATGTGTTGGGCTTATGTGGTCTTCTCTTTTTAAATTGAGAACAGAGAGCTTTGCTTTCAGTGCTTAATTTTCACAAATATAAAGAAGCTGGCAAACTGTTTTTCACAGTTTTCAGCAAAGGAGTCTTGATTTTGACTTAGCTGTTGATTTTCTGTCTCCAAGTGTCATTTCCTGTGTTCTATCTGGTAATTTGACATGATGACGTGTGAAATGGAGTCTCTTATTAGGTTTAAATATGTGATACGCTTTTGCTGTAACATAAAAGGGATTCGTTCTAATGTGAATTACTAACATGCTCTTAAAATTAATCAGGTGATTCATTGTGTGCCTCTCCTATCCATTCCTGAAACTCCATCAAGATTCAGCTATTATGTTTCATGGGACAGAGATCTCAGTTTGGGGTTTTTATCATCAACTTATGCTTGCAGAGTGGTCTGTAGTTCTGAAAGTTCTCCACATATGCTGACTCTTAATGATTCCAGAAGGCATGGCCTCATTGTGCCAATGGGAACCGAGGCTCTGAAGGGTTAGTTTAGTGACTGCCAGAGTCACAGCCAGCATAGCTAAGCCAGCCTCTCAGGGATGTGACTGGAGAAAGCTTGGGTGAAGCTGGGAGCAAGGGAGACAGCGCCTGGCTGGGCAGTGGCTGCCGAGCCTGTGGATCATGGCAGGGCACTGACTCTAACCTTGGCTTCACAGCAGAGTCCTTTGGGGTGCCCAGGTCTCGGGGTGGCCCAGCCTGGCACTTCTACCAGTCTACTTCCAATTCCTGGTGCCCTCCAGCCCTCAGTGGCCTCTCCCTCCTCCTTGCACCCCCAGCACAGTCATCTTCAGTGGGGTGCCCTCTCTGGAGGGCTCTGGGGAGCGGTCTGCTGTTCTGCCCCCACTCAGGCAGTGGGGCAAATCCCCGGGAGGCCTGAATCTCAAGGAGGCACAGCTGTGGCCCAGCCGCTTCTGGTGTGGACAGATCACCTGTTCCGGGGGCTTTGGCCTTCAGGGTGTTGTAGCTAGCAGCTCAGGCTGGCAAGGCCCCCAGTGGAAGTCACTTCAACTTGTCAGACGCCTTGGTAAGGGGGACCGCTGGCAAGGCTTGCTTCACCTCCCAGCTCTCCCCTAAAAAGGCCAGCATGGCTGCTGCTCATCTTGATTCCCAGCTGTATTCATCACAATAGGCCAAGGCACTCAGTGGCTAAGGGGCTCCCCAACCATGGCTCTGCGGATTCTTCAGAACCAGAGCTGCACCTCTGCTCTCCTAGGGGCCTGTGGCCATGGGGGATCATCCCTTAACTTTCACAACTCCCTCCCTTGACTCAGTGCCCTACACCCAGACCCAGAATCTAGGTGTGCAGCGTCAGAAACAGGAGTTAATTTTAGAAGCAAATGTTATCTATTTAATCTGTTAGGAGGTGCCACCATGCTCCCATCCCAGCTGCCCTGTGGTGACCCAGCAGCGCTTCATCTGCTCACTTGGGAGAGGCCTGAGCGGGTCTGTGAGGCTGGCTCATGAGGCGGCTGGGAGGGGACGCTCCTTGGTGTTTGTCACAGCTGTTGAAGAGGTGGGGGTCAGTGACAACGGAGAACAGGTACCTCGAATTGCTGGAGCCAGGGCACGACCCAGACTTCAGAGTAGCAGCTCAGAGTCTGAAACAGAGAAGGGCACACCGAGGGCTCTGACTTGCCCCATGGGGAGCCCTCTGCCCGTGGACGGGTTCCTCATGGGGGAGCTCTTCTCCTGCCCCTAGTTTTCATTTTGAAAAATTTCAAACCTACAGAAAACTTGAAAGAATGATTTAAGAAGATAAGCTTTTTGCCTCCGTATTTGTAATTGCTAAATATTGCCATGTTTCCTTTCTCTTGTGTTCTCTGCAGAGATATGCTATATATCAAATATATATGCAATTTCTGGATTGTTTGAAAGCCTTTCTTGCTCTAATCCTCTCTACCCGCGCCCCAGAACGCTCCTCTGGAGCTGTGTCTCCGCCTCCGGGAAGGGGGGATGTCGCCTGAGGAGCTCCTAGCACAGGCTCTACCTCCCGCTGTCCCGGATCCTCGGTCGTGTGGGAGTCCGGGAGGCCTGGCTTCCTGAGGGCTGAGGTTTGGAGTGGTGCCTTAGAGAAGTGGTGACAGGGTGTTTTCACAGCCCTGGTAGTGAGTGGGCTGGGGAAGAGGGGGTACATCTGAGAAGGGCCCGCTGCTTTACCCGCTTCAAGGTGTGGTTGGTTTGGAAGTCACAATCGTCCAGACGTGGGTGCTGGTTTTTCTTGCAGGTAGTTCTGCCAATTTCCACCTCGAGCATGTATTTCAGGCCTTTCACTATCTGCAGAGAACAGAGGGACTGGGTTACTGGGCATGGGGGAGGGAGGGCAGGGGGCCCTCCTTCACTGGAAGCGGGGCCTCAAGACAGTGGTGCAGGTGCCCCCCGAGTAGAAGGGAAGTTGGCCGGCTTGGGACAATGCTTCGGGCTTACAGCAGAGCCTGCATACCCTTCCCGCTCTCCTCCCTGCTCCGTGCTGGGGTTTGTGTCCCTTCCTGGGACAGACGTCTCCTTTCTGCCCAGAGCTCTGTACTCAGGAGGAACGTGACACTGGGTCTCCTGCATGCCCTCCTGAACCTGCCCTGCAGCCCCTCACTCCAGCCCCACGATGGCAGTTTCTCATGGCCTCTGTGTCAGGCCTGGGGTGTGTGGGCTTCCCCTTCCTGGGATTGGGAGTTTTGAATTTCTGGACAGCCCTTCTCCACTTGGACATGGCAGCTGCCTGGTTCATTCTCATTTGTGGTCTTAGAGGAGTTGAAGAAAAATTCTTCAGGTTTTAGTCTCAGCCCCAGCCCCAGGGAAATTGTTTTGTCCCCAACATCGCCAAGCTAGAGAGGGACAACCTCCAAGCCTCCTCCCAGAGATCCCTGAGGACTCAGCTCCAGAGAAGGAGGGAGGGCCTGCATCACCCAGGGAAGATCCACGCCCGAGGCCAGGTGGTGGAGCGAGGACCCTGGCTCCGTACCACACTGCCCTCTGTAGCACGCTTCTCATGTGAAAACGTGCTGCTCTTCACAAGTTCACAACGAACAAAAATAATTGGGTTCTGAAAGTCACTCCGACCTCTGACCTGGTGCAACCGTGAACACTGTGAAGGCAGTCTTGGACAGGGCTACTTCTGTTCCTTCCCCTCCAGGCACCAGCGCACAGTGCTGAGTGTTACCCACAGCCTGTGTCCCACATTAGCAAGCGGGTGTTCTCAGGACACAGACAAGGCCTGGCTGTGCCTTGGAGCGTCCCTAGTGGGGAAGGGTGCTGAGCAGGTACCCTTCCACAGTAGGCATGAGTCAGGGAAAGATCAGTGGCTTGGGCAGAGCTCTGGGACTCTGGGACTCGGACGTGAGTGAGCACCCCGACGGGGAAGTGGCAAGGACACGCCTAGGCTGCCATGCAAGTGAGTGGTGAGGCCAGGTGCGGGCCATGGGCCCAGCAGGGGCAGCTCCTTGGACAGCAGCTTCACGGGTTGCTCCCCAGTCAGCCTCGGCGCCGGCCTCCAGGAGCCCTGTTGGGGCCCCAGCGCCTCCTTACCCCATGCCTGGTGGGCTCTGGGCCAGTGGCCGTAACTGTCCTGGAGCTGCGTGCTTTGTGTAACCTTTGTGCTTGGCTCTGGGGGATGCTGGCCTCAGTGGCTGCTGTCCCCTCCCACCCCGTGTGTACCTCCTTTCTGCCCAGAGTGCTGCACTCAGGAGGGACGTCACATTAGGTCTGCCCTGCTCTCCTAGGTGTCACATTGTAGCAGCTTGGCTTCCTAGGGGTGTCCTTCACATGCGACCAGAACCAAGGCCCTCACCTGGACCAGGGCCCTTCTGATGCGGGACTCCTTGAACAAGAACATGTCGTTTGTGCAGTTGTTGAACTTCTCAACACTGTGTCTGGCTGCTTGGCGGACTCCTGGGTCGTTGGTCTTTATTGTTTCGGGAAATCCTGGCTTCACACCTAACTTAAGGTCCTGGGAACAAAAATCTGAAAGAGAGAAAAAAAGAACCAGGCAAGAACACTGATGTTAGCAGGGCCTTTGGTCCAGGTGTCACACCTCATGCTCAGTTCTCTGTCGACCTGTGCCTCCTGGCCCCACCCACCCCTCA